TGTGTCTGTCTGTCTGTCTGTCTGTCTGTCTGTCTGTCTGTCTGTCTGTCTGTCTGTCTGTCTGTCTGTCTGTCTGTCTGTCTGTGTGTTTTGTTATTTCTCTTTATAATTACCTTTCAGGCTAAAGCCAGTGGGAAGAAACCTCAGAAGGTTGCTCTGAAAATTTCCCCTCAGGGAGTCATGGTGTTTGACAGGTCCACCAACAAACTCCTGGAAAATGTCTCCATATACAGGTGTGTTCAGGGTAGTACATTTTCCTCAGTCAAAATCCTGCTGTGACGTATCTGGATTGTGGTCTAATCATTCTGGCTTCTTTCTGTTGGACCTGTTACACCTGGGCTGCAGAATATCCTACTGCACGGTGGACAAACTGCATCGTAAAGTGTTTGCGTATATTGCTCAAAACACCCTGAATGGGACCCTGGAGTGCCACGCCTACCTCTGCTCCAAGAGGAAAGTGGTGAGTTGGATTTATTTGGTTCAGTAAGATGCACCATTATTTCATAAATCAATAAGCCAATTTACTGCAGTCAATTTGTCAACACAGTTATTTACATAGATTTCTTTGGTTATTTGCTAAAGCAAATAGCAGCAGTGGCTTTTAATTTTATTTAATTTATTTACTGTTATTTTACCAGGCAAATCCCATTGAGATCTCAGATCTCTTTTTCAAGGGCGGCCTGGGCCTGAAGGCAACCTATTGTACATGTTTTTGTGTTGTGGGGGAAACCGGAGTACACAGAGAAAACCCACGCAAGCACGAGGAGAACATGCAAACTCCGCACAGAAAGACCCCAGGTCCGAACCGGGGATCGAACCCAGGACCTTCTTGCTGTGAGGCGTCGGTGCTAACCACTGAGCCGTCGTGCCGCCAAATTTAAATCCCTTCTGTCAAAGAATTTCATGATGCTTTTATTGTGTGAGGCTAAATATTACAAAGCATGACTAATATGTTGCGACCAAATTCAACTGTCATCAGGGTTGTTCTAAGCAGATTCTTAAAACAGCCTTGCACCAACGAGATGTCCTTCACTTATACTTTAACATCAAATACACATCTATCTGTAGCTAAAACTTTAATTAGTATTAATCCACATGCTAATAGTTACTCTCCCTAAAACTTGTTTTTTCCAGGCTCAGGCAGTGGCTTTGACGGTAGCCCAGGCTTTCACTGTAGCATTTGAGTTGTGGCAAGTGTCCAAAGAAGGTAAGCACCCCTTCTCCCAACAAGTACAAGAGGTTTGAACAACATACAGTATGAGGCTGCTTGTGTACGTATTAAATGCACATGAATTCATCATCTTGGATGAAGAGACCCAGGACACCTTTGCTTTGTCTTTCTAGAGAAAGAGAAAAGAGTGAAGTCTGATTCTGCAGGAGAGGCCAGCAGTAGCTCTCACTCAGAGAGGTCCAGCAGTTTGGGGAGTCTGAAAGGAACTGGTGAGCTTACAGCTCACTGTCTTTGAATTTTCTTGTTAATGAACTTTATGGAACCACTATGTCCATTTCCCAAAAAAAGATCCTTTCCTTTATACTATCAAACATTGGATTTTCTTTGTTTATTGTCTGAACCAATCAAATGACAATCCAATGCCAACCAATGACAATCCCTCTACGTTCCTTCTGACCAACACAATCTATTAAATCCAATTTCACAGTGGATAAAAACTGCCACAGCATCTAAAATCAGCTGGATGATCTTTGTAGGATGTTGGAGAGGGCTACATGTAATGCTCAGTATCAGGACATTTACCCCCTGAACATTTACCCCTTGGACATATACCCTCGGACACTTACCCCATGAGGACACTTACCCCCTTTAGGACACTTATGCAGGACACTTACCCCAGGACACTTACCCCCTTAGGACACTTATGCAGGACACTTACCCCCTTAGGACACTTATGCAGGACACTTACCCCAGGACACTTACCCCCTTAGGACACTTATGCAGGTGTAGTGAACATGCCCATTTCACCTCACCTCATCTCACCACTGGGTGACCTTTGACCGCCTGAGGTCAAAGCTCTCTTCTCCCAGACTGAACTGTTTCAGTCCTCAACAGAGGACTATCAAAAAAATAAGCCTTTCACAGTCTCTCCTTTCCCCTGGGAAAGGTCTTGTTCTCAAGAGATTTGTTATTCTGCTGATGAAAAACAAATTAAAACAAACATTCTGTCTGTTATTGCTGTTCCTTTAAACATGTACTGTATAATTCAAATGCTTGAACCCTTTAAAATGTGTTTGACTTTGTCTTTACTTTTTAAGGGCTCTCCAATAATAGTTATTTTAAAAACTTTGCATTTGTTGTTTAAAACATGTTTAGAAATTATGGTTTAGTGATAACAGAATACTGTATATTTTAATCAATGCTTATATTTTTATCTTTTCACATCTTGTGTTTTTAATAAGCATTACTTAATCATTTTATTAGTTTACTAATAATAGTTCATAACTAATCATTAGTTTATTGAAATATTAATCTAATGTTCTTTAAGAGTTGAGTTAATCCTACTAAATGTTGGTGTATCGTTGTGATGTCTGTAGCCTTGGGTCTTACACACAAAGACAAACATACACACAGTTCTCGTGAGAACTCTGTTGCACTCAGACACCTGCAGATAACATTCTCTTTCCTATGTCTTTAAAAACTTTCTGTTACTTCCTGTTCGTCAGTCTGTCTACTTGTCTGTCCTCCCTGCCGGGACAAGAGGTGCAGGTCGCCTCTTGGCTTTTCTGCTCTGTGTTGGAAAACATTGCTGTTTTCCAAAGTTCCTCCTGCAGCATAATTTTGCCTTTTTCTTACAAGGAAATACATTTTTGGTGGAACACCATTCTTGTTTTGGGTTGCTAAGCCTAAAACCTGGAGCTATCATCCTTGCTGTGAGTCTTCAAAGTTCCTGGTCGACCTGCCGGTTTTGAACCACTGCCACGTTGCTGAAAGACCGAGCCCACAGAAAGGCCTTCTCCCATTTGCTGACAAAGAAGGCTACGGTGTTTGCCATTCATCAGGCGGATGCCTAGCGGAAGTCTCTGTCTACCTGCCCCACGTGGAAAGGCCCTGGCTACGGTAAAAGCTGATGCGTGTGCTCACTTGGTCCCAGGCCCACAGGCTCACAGCTGAAACATAATTTAGAACCTTAAAAGATTTTATTTGGTGTCTGTTTGTTTGTCTTCTCTTTCTCTCTCTGTCTCTCCCACTCCTTCCCTCATACACATGCACACACACATATATTCACACACACTGACCCTGATTGTACATAAGTTAATCTATGTTTGCTTAATTAATACTGTTAGAGGAACTACTTAAAAGTAGAAACCAATAGCGTTGTAGTGAGAGTTCATTTATTGTTTGATTGTTGTAACCACATATTAACCACTCAATATTACTCTCTTCAATAAAAGTCAGTTTTAACTGGCCAAAATAAATGGAATGACTTTGTGTGTTTTCTGTGTGAATTGTGGTGATTGAATTATTTTTGTCTAACAGATACCATCTTCGAACCGGGAGGGATACTCTTAATTAAAGTCATATTCATGATTTTAACGAGGGTTATCTCTACACAGGACACTTACCCCCCAGAACACTCACTCCCTTAGGTCACTTATGCAGGGCACTTACCCCCTAGGACACTTACCCCAAGGACACTTACCCCCTTAGGACTCTTTATGTAGGACATTTACCCCCTAAGACACTTACCCCCTTAGGACACTTATGCAGGACACTTACCCCCAGGACACTTACCCACTTGGGACACTTATGTAGGACACTTACATGGACTGCTAATGGCAAACATGTCAACCCCTTCATTTACCTGTACCAAAATGTCATTACAGAGTCATCATCAGTGTGAAAGGGGCTGTAGCATATTACATCAATTGTTCCATCTTCTCTTCTCATTTAGACCTTACCACAGAAAACCTGTTGGACTTGGAGAATGGTGTGAACACGGTTCAGCTGGACAACCACAGACCCCCAGAGACCAACAACCCTGACTCGGTACGATCTTTTTTCTCTGTGTTGGGCAGACTGAGAAGTGAGGCAGTCACAAGCTATTTATTTTACTGCTTTCATCACAGCTGACATTATGAAAGAAAAACTTTCAGGAAGATTCCTGCATGTAATTAACAGTAATACAAAAAGGTGTTTTTTCTTCCAGAAAGTAGACGACAGCTTGGATGAAGCTTTTTCCAGGTGAGACATAATATAATCATTTTGTATTTCTTTGCTGCTTATTAGAAATCAAACACCCCCTCACCCAATTCTGTCCAGTCTTTTAGTAAATATGGTCCTCTTTCATTCACTTGGTCTGATGGCACCACTTGCAGGTGATTTCTGTGTACTGCAGCCTACAGCTCTCCCAGTCGGATAAAAACCTTAAAAACAAAACAAAATAAAGCTGCACAATCAGTGAGAAATCCCTAAACTTAAAGCTGTGCTCAGTCTGCTGTGTGTTTGTGTCTCCAGCTGTGCTCTGGATAGCTATGGTTCATTTCCAGGTAAAGTTCAGCACTATTGTCAACCAATGCTGTAGTGTGGTAGTTTAAATCACTAACCTAACCTGCCATTCAGTCACTACCAAACCAAATAACATCTCTAATGTCAGCTACTAGTCTGAAATAGTTTCCTGTTTATTTTATTCCCAATGGATGAATAGTTCAATAACGTTACAAAACAAAACAAAAACAGCTGATTTAGCAGAATGTTTCCCTGCTTGTTTTGTTTTCTGATATATTTCCTGGATAACCCTCCTCTGTGATGTTTGTGTGACTGTTCTGACTCCCCTTCACACAGCTGTTTATTGTTGAGAACTTCCTGTGTTTGTGCTCCAAATGTGGAGCAGTAGGTTGCCATGTTATTCTGGGTGTCCTCCGTGTTCTTGTGGGGTGAAAAAGTTCACCTGGAGCTGAAAGTTTCTGTTACCACATGAAAAGGAGGAAAAAAAGAAACAGGAACTTAGCCAAGACCTCATCTTACTGCCAGAGAGATTCATGATCACTTTTACTTTCTGGTTTGTTTAATCTTTGCTGGAAGTGATGAAAAAGAAAATATCAACCAACTCATGTTTGTTGTTAACTTTGTGCAGCAAAAATAACAATCCTTTTGTATTTTTCGGAAATATATGATATAAAATACTCATTGTCATTATATTTAGCTTAAAAAATGAAACACTAAAAGAGCAACTACAGAATAAATGTATATTTGAAGTACAGTCATGGGGAAAAAGCAAGTCCACCTTTTTTTTTTACTTCTAAGGATTTTAATATCAGGATCTAAAAAACACATTTTTACCAGGTTCACAACTATTTTAAGATAACCTCATGTGTATTGGGCCTGTTGTGCAGCTACGTACATGACTTTGGTCAACAACCATGAACTCCTCTGTAGACAGACCCGGCTCCAGAGGAATTTAGTTGTGGGGGCTCTGGCTTATTTTGTGGGGGCCTCGTAAATAGTCAGTTAATTTAATTTAAATGCATTCATAC